CGCATATAAATTATTATATAAGAATGGTTTTTTTTTAAAAAATAAACTCACTAGCTTTATTAATACACATATGTGGTAAATTAATGGACAAAACTTAAGGTTTATTTGTGTCTAGTAATTTTCCAATCAAAATATCGGCACAAGAAATTTTTTAATTAATAATAAAACTTGATATCGACGGAATTTTAAAATTCTATTGACCCCTTATTAATAATAAAACCCTCATCTGACAAACGGTGGTTGTGGGTTATCCGCCCCACCTTTCCTTCTTCCTTCCACGGAGTGATGCACAGAGTTCTCTCTCAACCGCGAGGAAGGCAAATTTCGTGGATGTTCATATGCTTCCTCACGCGCTCTCATGTTATAATCTATGTTACTCGCGTTGTCATTGTTGAGTAATATTTTACAATATCTTTTCATGACTAATATGTACAAGTCTGGACTCACATTTTTATTGTATAAAAAAGTACTTCTACTTTTTTCATGCTTTTTGCAGCTGCAGTACCCTGATGGCCTGATCCTCTCATGTCTGAGCAGCGAGAAACGTTGGTGTTATTATTTGGAATTTGACTCAGGCAAAAAAAAGAAAAGAAAAGAAGGATTATTTAAAATTGGGGGTTGGGTGCTTATGCAACTGCAAAGTGCAAACCCTACTGAGGGGAAAATATCAAATGAAAATTGCCCACTCAATATCTCTAATCGTGTCCTTCTTTCTTTAGCTTGGAATTTTGAATGGAGCAATACAATGCTACAAAATTTGGATTTTTTACGTTGCGAGATTTTCTTACATGTATAATATAAATGGACAAATACTAAATTGCTCCTAGATATATGAAAATAACAGTTATTTAATTTGATGATTAACATATTAGCCCCTTAAAAATCATTCTACCACCCTAAAGCTAAGTCACGTTTCTAAAGAATCTGAAAAAAGAGAAAAGTAAATATCATCACTTTTATGTATTTGTTGGTTTGACACACTTTGTAATTTCCACTTTTAGCATCTACGGACCCGTCTTTTCTATGTGAAATTGCAGGACCAGACTAAGGAAACAAAAAAGAAAAAGACGGAAGAGTATAGCAAAAATATTAATTACCACGTTCAAGCAATATTTTTGAAAATGATTTCTAACAGTAATTATTCTGCATCAGAAATACATAAATAAATCTAAACTGTTAATATTTGGTCTAAACATACTGTTAAAATTTCAATACACAGTTAAAATATGATTGAAATAGTTTACAAAGCATATATTTTCTATTTTTTCTTATTATAACTATGAATTGTTCGGATGAAAATTAATATCTTAAATTTATTTATGTGTTGATAACATAAAATTATAATTATAGTTTTATAATTTGCGAACCCTAATGCGGGAAAATGTGCCCACCAATATATTTAAACGTGTCCTTTCCCTAAGTGCGTGTGTATCGTAGGTGGGTGTGCATAAGGTTTGGTTGGGTGGGCACCGTGATGGGGGAAGCACGAGAAACAACCCACCCAATATCTACAAACGCTCTCCTTCAATTTTTTCCCTTTTCTTTTTTCAATTTTATAATTTTCTATAATGAAAAAATTTATAATGTCTCCTTTTTCTTTCTCTTCTTTCTTCATTTATTCATTCATCGCACAATATATGAAAAAACATAACCAAGTTTTGGCACCTTGGAATTTTAATGGAACAGGGCAATGCTATAAAATATTATGAAAACTTTCAACTCCTTACCTAAATATGTACATCTATTTTATCCATCTTTAAGCAACTAGAGGTATCTTTTATCTGGATGATGAGTAATAACTATTTAAGCATATCAGAACCCAAACAGAAAGAGATGCAGGGCAGGGGGATTCATTTTATAAAAACTTTGAACTCCGTTCTTTATATATTTTTAAGCTTATTGAAAAGACTAGTCATAAAGAGTGTCGGGAAGTCTGGGTTATGGCTCAACTTGCAGCAAGTCTAGAATTCCTTGACTTAATTAGCCAAAGGAATTGGATAATATACTTTGATGGGGAAAAAAAAGAGTATTAAAAATACATCTTAAATCATTTTTGATCAAATACTAATTAATACTATCTTTGGTCTTAGATATAAAAACCATACAGATGGGAGGTTAAGACTTCCATTTACTTTATTTCCTAAATTTATCATTTTTCCCAAAATATTCTTAAGAGGGTTTCCATCAAGGGTTATTATATCTTTTTTTTACCAAACATCAAGGATAATTTCAATGCACATAACTGAAGAGATATTTTAGCCAAACCAATATTTATTTATCATAAGTAATTAACTAATTTTTGAAATGGGAGGAGTGAAATGAAGTCATGAAAGTTTAGAGTGTAAGAAGAAATAAGAGCAGCATCCAGTACAAATACATTATCCAATATTTATTTACCTTTATTGAAATATTAATTGTTGTTATAAATCTCATTATTTATTAAATTATAAATATTTATATGTTTAATATTTATAATTTTATATTATATTGTTTGTTGGATTTTTTTACATAATTGCTTAAAATTCATATAATAATAAAATTCGAACAACATTTACTGTTCTGTTGTTAATATAGTTAGTTATTTATATCAACAAAGAGCTTATGTCACTATATGTTGACATATTTTTTAACAAAATTTGAAGATGCATCAATTTGTATATTCAAATTTTGACATATAAAATATATTGAAAAAATAATTTTTTATATTTTTTTTTAAAGTTGATACATTTTAATGTATGATATATAGAAAAAGAGGTATAGAGGGGACAAATTACAGCTTTATCATGATGGGAAGTTTCAACGCATCATTATATTATATGTTAATGCACTTACTTCTCCTTGTTCTTAATTTGTTCTTTCCTTTTTTATAGTGTTCAACGGTCATTTTCACCTTGATCATAGGGTTGGAGACTACTTACTATTTTTTTTTTATAATAACAAAGAGGGAAAAAAAGAAGGAGCTTCAAGACTAAGACTAAAAAAGCTAGTGGTGGAGGCTGTGTGAGTGTGAAACTGCGAGGTGCAAACCCTAATGTGGGAAAATGTGCCCACCCAATGTCTCTAAATGTGTACTTTTTTTTTTTTTTGCTTCTTATTTGTTAATATATTCATTCATACATGGCACTAATATATGGAAAAAAAACAGAACCGGTTTTGGTAGCTTGGAATTTTGAATGGAACAACGCAATGCTATAAAATTATGAATTTTTAAGCCCTTCTACGTTCTGAGAGTTTCCTACATATATAAATAAATAGATTTATTTTGAAAAAATTATACCCACTACTTACCTACATATCTTATATTTATATGTGATATAAAATTATTAAGTCGTATTATGTTTATAAGTTATAAATAGAGAAAATTGGAGTAAAACATTTTGAGAAAATGATATTTATTAAAAGTAATGTTAAAGATTGCAATTATTTAAGCTCATAGAATAAATCATACTTATGGAAAAGTATCTTAAAATTTCTAATTATTGAGAAGGGTAGAGAACTATCTATGATATAAATGGACAAATACTAAATTGCTCTGCGATATATGATAATAACAGTAATTTAATTTGATAATTAACATAATAGCCCCTTAAAAACAGAAAATAGAGGATAGAAAAAAAATACTCCTCTGATCCTTAATATAAGGTATATTTAACTAATTTGATTAGATTACAGAAGTTAGGTAAGTTAGTTAATTATAAAAAATATGACACATTTTTCCTAAAACACCATAATCATCTTTTTTAATACCCCTCTCTCTTTTACTTAATTATGGTTGAAGGAATATCTATAGGGGTAATTTAGAGAAAATTAATAAATACGAGAAATGGATCTTATATTTAAAATTAAGACCAACTCAACAATTAGGTCCTATATTAAGAACCCGAGAAGTATTAATTATGGCATTCGGGCATTATTTTTGAAAACTGCAGTTCCTAACACCTTTTTGTTTTTTTAGAAAAAAAAAAAAGCCTTATGCGGGTGCCGTGCGCCGTATGCGGGTGTCGTGTGGGGCCCACATCAATGCGTTTCTGCATGAAGAGGGGTATCTGCGCTTCCTCCGTCTCCCTCTCTCTAGCCCGCGCCTGTGCATCCATGGGGAGGCTCTGCGCCGCCCTAGCATAATCCATTTTTGCATATCAAAACAGCACTACTCTCCTCACTCACTCAACCGATCGCTCACTCGTGTGGCTTGTTCTTGGCCTGGCCGGTGTTGAGCCGCTAACCCAGGTAACCTTCTTTTCTCCTTCTCCTTCTCCTCCCTCACTCACCCAATCGCTCGGTCACTCGTGTAGTTTGTTCTTGTCGTGGCCAGTGCTGAGCACTGAGCAGCTAACCCAGCTAACCCTCACTCACCAGGTGTATTAGTATATAGTCTGGATACTCTAGACATGCTTGCTTGTCGTATTTTAATGATGGCTCATACCACCCATTTTTTCAGACAAGCTTGTACTCGTTATTATTTTTCAAAAGAGAGCATGATGATCCTTATATAGTTTGTACAACACACACACACATGAAAACAAATGACCTTGAAAATATATAGAATATGAAAGAGCACACCACGTGCACAAGATGAATTTTTCACTAAATTTTTGTTGCTTGTTCCTTTTTTTTGCAGATGGCGTCCGCTGAAATGACAGATGGCCCTAGTGTTGATGTTCAAAATGAGTATAATTTTTAACTCATAGCTCCAAATTATACATATCTGTGTGTGTTTTCTTCTTAACTGCATACATCCAAATATAGTTACTATATTTAGGTTCAGGGATAATTTAAGATGATATCTCATATGAGCCTTTGGGGAATATACATTTTAATATGTAGGCTCTTCATGATTATAGTATGAAAATGATAATCCTATGATATTTTCTCATGTTGGGCTGATGTCAATAATCGAGTGTTTACATATATAGTATTCTGTATATATGGTGTAAGTGGTTTTGTCGTGGTATATTTTGTAATTTGTTTTAATCACTATGTTTTATTATCAGGGATGAGCATCAAATGACACAACCGCCACCAAAATCCTCCGCACCACCACCACCACCACCCCCCTCCGTATCAATGGTAGCACGACGTCTACCACCCCTTCTACCACCACTACGACAACGACGAACATCTATTTCACTATCGGTTGCATCAACACCCTCACGAGCAGCAGCAACAGACCCCCTTATACTAGTGGGAGCACCACGACGACCACCACCACCGCCACGGCCACCCCGACGAACCTCTGTTGCACTAACAGTTGCATCAACACCCCCACCAGCAGTCATAACAGACCCCTTTATACCAGTGGGAGCACCACAACCACCACCACCACCACGACCAGCCCGACGAATTGCATCAACACTCCCACCAGTAGCAGCAACAGACTCCCTTGTGCCAATGCGAGCAACACCACCGCCACAAACCCATGTTGCACTGACGGTTGCATCCACATCCCCACCTGCAGCAGCAGCAGACCCACTTGTACGAATGGGAGCACGACCACAAAGAACTCCATTGTATGTTTTACTAATAAATTTCTAGTTAATCCGTATGCATTTAAGTTCTTTTCTTCGCTCTCTTTCAACTAGACAGCTGTTTAAAGCTTGTTAATGTGTAATTTTATCTGTTCTACTAATAATTAACTATTTTAACGCTACACATATTTTAATATTCATATGTTTTTTAACCTTTAATTTTTTTTTTTTTTCCTGTCTTTATGTGTATTAGGAATCAAATCCCGGCTGAAGGAGCTGCTTATGCGCTAAATCCTCCTCAATTTCAATACGTTTATGGGTAAATCTTTTTAAATAACGTTATTTTGTTGCGTTTTAACATTTTATTCTTCTGTATTGTCTTAAAATCAAGCAATTCATCTTTTGCTTAAATTTTGATCTGATGTTTATTTGAAAATAGAGATAAAAGTTGAAGGTAACGATTATTTGAACATAGTGAGTTTTTAAATTTTTATATGTAATTATTACGCTGTTTTTTTAACTTCTTACTATCTTTTGTAATTAAAAAACTTGTTTCAGGCATTATGATACAAATTTTGTCTGGGCTTCTGTTATTCCATTTATGGTTATGGGAGTTTCCATTTGGATTACAGTGCGTAGCCGAAAAGGTATTATTGTTCTTATTATTTTACTGTTTTTTAAATAATGTGAATTACTATTATAAATTGTTGTTACTTCCATTATTACCTTTATTATACTAATATGCTGTTTTTTTTTTTTTCCAGATCTTCATAACTTGTCCAAAGCCTTCTTATTCTATTTAGGCTTGGCTGTCATTGAACTCCTTGTGACGATATTTGGGCTGATTACAATGCCTTGCACTCAATATTGGCGCAGGATATTGAAAGAACCAGCTGATATGATTTATATAGTCGCTAATCATACCCTCAACATTTTGGAAGCTTTTCATTATCCATATAATGGGATAGCAAACCATATTTTTTTATGGATAGTGGTTGCATCCAGCATGGTTCTTGAATACATAGCGACCGATTATGGAGTTCATCCACTTGGAGTGTACCATGTCCATGTGCACTCCAATCTTCTATTATCATTCCTGCGGTTAAATGTCGCAATATTTGAGTCTATTATCAAGCAACAGATTTTTCGTTTTCCACTGTTTTTTATCTTGACAGGAGTCATTGATGCTGTTGGTCATGCTATTAGAGTATGGAAGAGGGTGGAATTTGATCGTGAATCTAGGACAAGCCACTAAAGTTGTATTTTGATGGAGATCTGCACCTTTTTGCTATATTTTGTATTAAAACTCCGCTATGAATTATGGAGGGAATATCTCAAGACATATTTGGTTACAGTTTTTCATCTAGTTATCTAATTTTATACTTACATCATTTTATTATTCAAGGAACAAAAAAATCAGACCGGTCACTAAACCGGTTGAGACAGTGAGTTAAGGGTCAGTAGGTCAGATCAGGGTCTAACCAGAGTCAGATAGGTCATATTAAAACAATATAATTTAATTGATAATAACAAAATATAATAATATTTATAAATAATAATCAGTAATCGTTCATGTTTAATTGTACCAATTAACGTTACTAAAATACGCATCTATTTTAAATGTTAATTTTTAGATGTTTGAGACAAAAATCTGATGCACTATGTTAAAAAATCTTTTTTTTTTGTTTTTGTTTTTTTAACTCTTGCTTCTCTCTTCTTTTTTCTTCTCTCTCCCACCTGACCACTCTTTATTTTTCCCTTCATAACACGCATAGCAGCTTTCTTCTTTCTTCCTTGAATAACGAGCAAGCAGGAAGCACAATAGGGTAGCTGCTCTTGAAGCACAAATCACGATTCCCTCTTTCTTTTTTCCAGCTAAAATTTTTTTTTGCCTCAGAATCTTTCTTCTTGTCTTCTAATCTTTTAGTTTCTCCTCCCTCCCTCTCTCCTTTTTTCCTTACACAACTTCAACAACAAATCAGTCTTCATGGTGAAACCTAGAATATTAAATCATCTTCTTATTTTTCTTCCATGCTTTTTGGTTTTCACGCTAAAATGCTTCTTCACTTTACTTTTTGGCGTATTCAGGAGTTCTCTTGTAATAAGGTTTGCTCAGCATATCTCTCTCTATTTTTTCCATGGAAAAAAAAAACCGGACTGGACCGGCCGGTTCAACCGGTGAACCGGCCTGATGTCCGGTCTGGATTAAGGAAAGAACCGGCCAGGGTTTGAACCGGTGGTAAACCGGTTGAGCCGGTAAGAACTGGCGTTGAACTAGGTAAACCGCCGGTTTAGGTGGTGTATCCGGTTCACCGTTTTGCCCCCTCCAGAGCCCGAAAACGACGACGTTTCATTTAAAAAAAAAAGCAAACCGATTCCAAAACCGACTCGACCCCCTGCAGTCCTGCACCCTCGCTCAAGTCTCGACCCCGCGCCCGTCTCCTTCGGTCCTTCTTCCTCATTCGGTCTCCACTCTCCAATCTGGCAATCTCCATCTCGTCCTCGGTCGCCTTCGCAGCCACCGTGTGCTCAGCTTACTTCCCTGTCCTCGGTCCCAGCTCGCTGAATCTCGTTGCCGTGTGCTCATTGGATCTCCCAGCTCGCTGAAGCTCACACACGATTCAGTGCCCTCACTCTCTGTGTGGTCGTCGACCGTCGTCCCCTGCCTCGCCTGAAGCTGCTCGGTGCCCTGCCGTCGCCGCGCCTGAAGCTCCTCGCCTTGCCCGTGCCGTCGGTGCCCTGTCGTCGCCGATCCAAGTCGGTGCCCTGTCGTCGCCTTGCTCGCCGATCTCAGTTCTCCCAAGTCCAGCCTCCCAATTTTCGTTTGAAGTTTTGAACTCTCATTCTCTGCTCTCGGCCACTCAGCAAACTCACCCATTTTCGTTTGAACTTGGAAGTGACGGTGATAATCTCTGCCATCTATTATTTTTATGGTTTGATTTTGTCATTTTGGAATTTGAATTCTGCTTCTGCTTGAGGATATTGTGTGAAAATTAATTGTATTATGAAATCTGAACCCATCAATGGATGCCATGGATTTGTATCTGCTTGTATTCCAGAGGATATTGTGCGGAGGATATTCTATGTTTGGTTTGCACGAAGGAATAATTTCATTAATTTGGTACTCTGAAATAATTTGATGCTCTAGCTTAGAATTACTTGTTTGGTTTCAAAATTGTGAACTGTGTTTGGTTTAAAATTGTAGTCATTTCATTGTATATAGTGAAGTAGTGAAATCTGAAACTATGGACGGTTTTAAAATTATGGACAGTTCCCCACTTTGTTCAATATGAAATCTGAAACTGAATAACTTGATTGTTTAATCATTAATGTTGTGTTAAGCTTTTGATTTTTTTTTTTAGTAGCAGTGATGGATATTTCAAATAACCAAAGTTCTGGAAATGACAACATGACTCCTAATACTGGATCTTCAAATCCTCTTACCGAAACCTCCACACCCACATCCTCATTACGTGCCAAAACTGATCCAGCATGGGCACATATTGCGTACAAAAAAGAAGGAACACAAAATATATATACATGTCTTTTTTGTACTATTAGTTATAGAGGAGGTGGGATAAATAGGATGAAGCAACATCTTGTTGGCACTGTTGATCAAATAGCTGCTTGTAAAAAAGTTCCACATGATGTTCGTTATAGAATGGCAGAGTCTTTAAAAGAAGGGTCAAAGAAGAAAACTATTGAAAACATAGAAGAGGAAGTCGAAGAAACTCATGTTGAATCACCAAATGTCACAGGTAGTGTGAGGAAGAGGAAAGCTTCTGGGAGCATAGACAATTTTTTTGCTCCTAGAACAACTCCTGATTCCCAACCTGGCATTAAGAGTGCATTAGCAACTAAAGAAGCAAAGCATAATGTGAAAATGTTGATTGCTGAATGGGCTATTGTAAACTGCATTCCGTTTAAGGCGTTTGATTGTCCTTTATTTCAAAAAGCTGTGGATGGCATTGCTTCAATAGGGCCTAGGTTTAAAGCTCCTAGTGCTTATGATTTTAAAACCAACTTGTTGAGTGACTGGAGAAAAGAATGTCAGTTACTTATTGATAGCCATCGAGCTAAATGGAAAAACAATGGTTGCACACTCATGGCTGATGGATGGACTGATGTTAGACAGCGTATTTTGATAAACTTCTTAGTGTATTCTACACATGGTATGGTATTTGTGAAGTCTGTTGATGCATCAAATCTAGTTAAAGATGCCAAAACTCTATTCACACTATTTTGTGAAGTCATTGAGTGGATTGGTCCTAAAAATATTGTTCATGTGGTGACTGACAATGCAGCTAACTATGTAGCATGTGGTAGATTGATTAAAGAGAAGTATAAAAGTATTTATTAGTCACCTTGTGCCGCACATTGTTTGAATCTTGTATTGAAAGACTTTTCAAGCATGCCTCATGTGTCAGACCTTGCATCAAAGGCATCAAAGATAACTGTATTTGCATATAATCATATGGTTTTCTTATCATGGCTGAGGAAAAGACCGACTTGGAAAGAAATTGTGCATCCTGGTGCCACAAGGTTTGCTACCACATTTATTACATTGCATAGTATATATATGCACAAGAATGACTTGCAGGCTTTAGTTGTTGATAAACACTTTGTGGACCACAAATTATCAAGGACTGAAGCAGGAAAAAATTTCAGTGCAATCATATTGGACAATCGGTTTTGGAATGATTGTTATCAAGTTGTGAAAATTGTATCTCCTCTTATAAAATTGTTGAGAATTGTTGATTCATATGAGAAGCCTTCATTGCCTTATGTTTATGAAGGCATGCGAAGGGCAAAAATGGCAATTAAGGAGATGTTTAAGAAGAACAAGGACCTGTATAAGCCGTACACAACAATCATTCAAACTCGATGGGATAAGCATTTGAAGACTAATCTTCATGCAGCATCATATTTGCTGAATCCTGCAATCACATATGCTCCAGACTGCCCGATCAAGTCAAAGTTAATGATGGCTTTAATTGATGTGGTGGAGTCTTACTCAGACGAAGAGGTTGATGGCTTCTTGGTAATGAAACAAGCAACTACTTATCGTGAAGCTAAAGAATCCTTCAGTAGACCATCATGTCAAAAAGTAGCACAGAAACTTGACCCTTGTAAGTGTTTGTATTTAATAGTTAATAGTATATTGATGGTCATTCACTAATTTTATATTTCATATTTTTATGATTCAGATGAATGGTGGACATATTATGGATGTTTAGTGCCAGAGTTGCAACGTGTTGCGATGCGCATTCTTAGTCAAACTTCTTCTTCTTCTGGTTGTGAAAGGAATTGGAGTTTATTTGAACGCATTCATACAAAAAGAAGAAATAGATTGGAGCACAAGAGGCTAAATGATTTAGTTTTCACAAACTATAACTTACGATTGAAGCATAGGTAATTTTATAAGTTATGGCTGCTTTTATTTTGATATGGATTTACATCTAATTGAAATTTTATTTGTCAGGAGTACATTGAAGAAGCAGAAGGCAAGCTATGATCCTATTGACTATGAAAACATTGATTTGGTGGACTTTTGGGTGACTGAAGAAGATCCTGTTCCAGAGTTTGATGATAGAGATGTGGCGACATTTGAAAGTGTTTTCAACAATGAAGACATTTCAAATTTAACAACTCCTGGGAGGGATAATGAAGGTATTATTATCTTAGTTTCTTAGAAGTTATAAATATTTTTATTTTAATATTGATTTACACTTAATTGACATTTTATTATTGTCTTATTTAGGTGGTGGTGATGATATGAATATTGTTGAACCTCCACCTCTGCAAGATGATGTTGCTCCTCCTTCTACTTTTCCTCTTCCAACTATTGATGTCTCCATTCCTGGCCCTACCAATGAATTGAATGATGATTTTGATTTTCTGTAGTGATGAAGATATATATATTTGTTAATGGTAGTTTGGTACAATTAAATGTTTAAACTTTAAACCACGTTGGTTGTTTTTTGTATTTTGTTAAATGATTATTATTAATGAATGTTATTTTTATTGTCATTGCTAATTAAATTAAATTATTTTAATATGACCGGTCTGACCCCGGTCTGACCCATTAACCCTTGACCTACTATCTAGACCAGTTCAGTGTCCGGTCCGGTTTTTTGTTCATTGGACTTAGCAAGCTATGGGGACTACTTTTCCTGCAATGCGAATTTTTTAATTGGAAAAAAAAAAATGATCCACATGGCCGTTTCTACCTGTGAAAAAAATCGACATGGATTTTGAAATAATTCAATGTCTTAAATTTGAAATATGGAAAATAAAATAATCTCAAATATCAAATCTAATATATATATATATATATATATATATTAGATAGCACAAATTTTGCGGAAAAGAATCAAAATCGTAAATAAGTTTATTCGTAAGGTAAATTAATTTAGAAAATTAACAAATATAAGAGACAAAATTGATCATGATCATAATGCTTTTCTAATTCTATTTATAGGGCAAAGAGAGAAGACATTTTTTGGTCATATTTATAAGGTATTGAGACAAATTTTTTGTATGAATGAATAATTTTACCCCTAATTTGTTATTGTATTGACTTTGTTTACATGTATAATGTATATTAAATAGGGATAAAGTTGAAAAGTTATTAAATCTTAAATAAAAGTTAGTGAAGTTTAAAATTTTTCTTAGTCTAGGTGAAACATACTGGAAGTTATTTCTAAATAGGACAGAGAGTATTCAAGACCAAATAAAAGGAGAGAGATTGGAGGGAGTATTATTTTTTAAAATAAAGGGACAAAACATGACGATCCTTATGGTTTGTGAAATATATATAAGAAATGAATCAGTTTAAAAATAGGGTATGAAACAGATGAGCACAATATATAACATACTTCTGCTATAGGTCTATTATTTGTCATTCCTTGTGTGTATTATTATGGTTTAACTTGATCCGCAACCATTTCACCTGTTAACTCATTCTCTTGCGCTTCTCCTCCAATTATGTCTTTTTATAAGAACCACCTGTTATTTTTATCTTATTTCTTTTTTATAAGAAACATTTGTAAGATGTCTTAAAATTTTTTGCCTAGTTTTACCCCCACTTGATTATTTAGTTTAATACTTAATATATTTATTATATTATTTCTCAAAGTATTATTTATTCATCTCTCTCCATCACACTTCCTTTTTCTTTTATAATTCTCTTTATTTTAATAATTTTCTTATTCTTTCATTTATTCTCTTTCCTTCTCATTAATAAGAGTATTTTTTTAAAAAAACTTACAACTATTACATATATATTTTTATTGTCTTTAATTAATTTTAACTAATTTTTTGATTTACGTGATTTAGGCATATTTTTTTATAAAAAGGGATGGAGGAAGTTAGTACTATATATTTGTCCAAATTATACAATCATGTAATTAAGACATTTCACTTCATTATCAAAAACATTTAAAATCAGACCGGGTGTATTGTCGGAAATATAAAATGAAGCAGGTCATTTTCCAATTGGCTCTTGTCAGAGTTTTGACTTGCTTGAGTCCTCTCCCCATGTTGGAGCTAGAGACTCGGCTGGTCTTCATGTGAAAAGTGACTTATGGAAAAACTAACATTTATGACCACTTGTACGTGTTCTTCTTCAATGGTTGCATTTAATTTCTTACTTATTTTTGTGTGGTGTCTATATTTGTTACCAAAATTTAATAGGAAATGAATTAACAACACTCTTCTAGTCCTAAATATAAAACTCCTTTTGTAATATAATTTACACTATAAAAAGGGTCTTATATTTAGGAATGGAAGAATAATTATTACGGGCATGTTATCAATGCGTTTAAACCTTTTCGGCATATACTCATGTAGTCATATTTATAAAGTAAAGGGAGAAATTTTTTATATGAATGTACAATTTTAACTTTTATTTATTATCATGTTGACTTTATTTTCATGCGAAATAATATAGATTAAATAGGAATAAAGTTAGAAAGTTGTTAAATTTTAATACATAGTTAACAAAGTTTAAAGTTTTTTTTTATTTGTGTAAAACATCTTAGGAATAACTTATAAATAGATTAGAGGAATGTATTTTAGTATTTAGGGCTCCTTATATGGGGAGAACATTTGATGCTTATCATAATTATAAGCATGGAGTGCTCATTTTAGTTTGGATCATTTAGATTGATTTTGGATGATCCAGATTTAATTTAAACTTTTTACATATTGTTATTTTTTATTTTAATAGACGCAGAATTTTTTAAAAGAAAGATAATCTTATAACTAGCGATTTATCATTGAAAAAAATTGCATATTAAAACTTCCAAATTTGAACCATTCATATCAAACTTTAAATGGTCTAGAGTATATTATGAAACATCCTTCCGTAAACCCTTTTTAATGCGTGTTCAAAAGTATTACGGTTCAAGCAGATGACAAAACAAGCCGCTAGATTAAAAACTTGTATTTAATTTTTTGGGTTACTATTCACTGGTTAATTTTAGATTTTTGGTCCAATTTTGAAAACTCATAACTAATTATAAAAAAATCGTATTGAGGTGGTTCAACATTCTATTTCAAGCTCTTTCAATTTTCTATAGAGAAAAAATATAAATGTAGATCTAACCCTTACCAACTGATACAGTTAATTACATAAACTTTACTGTTTATTTGGTCAAAATAGTATTTTCTAGATTCTTTGTCCTAATTTTGAGCAACCATAACTTTTAGCACACATATCCAATTTAAGTAATATATCACTTTTTTTAAAGCTTAGGATGTTATATGGATGCTCACCAAATTTCACCAGCAGATTTAATCGTTTTCCTCCGTGTAACTCAATCACCATTTCATGACTCATTTAGGGATAATTTACCCCCTTACTTACATTAACAATTCATAATTACTTCTTTCCATACATATTATCATTCTATTGATATACTAACCATTCCCATACATCATCATAGCCAATTATACATGCCATTACCATTATTTAACATCTTATAACATCAGTGGCATATTTATATCATACATTGGCATACAAATTGTTAGTGCTAGTTTCACCCAAGAGGGGGTGAATTAGGTGATATAAAAATTTGACTTTATAAAATAAATAATTGAATAATGCAAAGGAAGCAAGTTTAGAAGGATTTCACTGAAGATGAATAGAAATAGAACATGCAGGAATTTATACTAGTTCAGTCAGAACCACTTAACCTATCCCAATCCTCAGAGCATCTATGAGTTTTCACTAAACCCCAAGATTCAATAGGGTCTTGGTGCCACAATACAGTAATTGAGCTTACTTCAATTACTCCCCTTACTTCCCGTAAGGTTACAATCCCCTCAAGAATCCCATATTCTTGAGTCACTCTTTGAAAGCAATAAATGATTTACAAACTCTCTCTTAAGAGTGTGTGGCATAAACATTGAAGCTCAGTATAGAAAAAAGAGTATTGAATGCAAAGATTAATTTTAACAGTTGGTAGCTCGGTTCATTCACTACTTCATTCAATGCTCTTCGCGCCATTTATAGTTAGATTCTTTCAAGTTTTCGTGAGACACAATAGCTTGTAAATGTTGGGATATCGCTTGCATGTGTTTGTAGTTGCAACGGATGTTTGTAATAAATGCACTTTTGACACAATAGCTTGAGCCTATAATATAACCATTGAGCTTCGTAACCTGCAGAAGTGTCTTGGTAGAAAAATAAGATTCGTCCAAGAAGAAATAAAAGTGAACACTAGAATAGGTGATGATCTTTGAACTTTAATACAAGGAGTGAAAATCATAAATTAGAGATCAACCAACCAGACAATCAAATTATCAAAGACCTGATCGATAAGCCCTTAATCGATAAAATTATCGGTTAATTGAAAGGAAGCAATTCTAAAATGTAGACTCACTTATCAAAGTCATTATAGATCAAACACTTTATGGAACAAGTTATCGATATATAGTGAAATGTAGTCAAAGTGATTTTATTAAGATAATTCATCTGAAATTAGTTGAAAAGCTTGTCTCTTGAAACAGGTGCCTACTCACTTCTTATAAGAATAGAAGATAATTAATGAAGGCTAAGAAAAGTTTAAAGACAAGATAATATCATTCTTTCTGAAGAGTATCGTGAAGGACAATTTAAGAAGAAATGTGTTTGTACTTTATAGAACAAGTGATCAATAATCTACTTTATCAAACAGCTTATTGATATTTTTTTTTGGACTCAACAGCTTATTGATAATTGATCGAATAAAAC